ACATAAAGAATGAATATATAGGTCAAACATTCAGGGAAATACCCTCCTCATTTAAGAATATAAAAATGTATCATTAATCCCATTTTCATAATAATAATTGAGCCCCATTAAAATTATATTGGTTAATAGATTGTCCAGAAATATATAATATAAAAGCTCATTGGAATTCCCACACCATCCATAGATAGTTTGAAACTGAAATGAAACCTCACAATCCCACATAAATGGTTCGAAGCTCTCCTCTATGAATAACGTGCCACTAATAAAAAAGAAATGGATTTGTAAAAAAAAAAGAAATGAAGAGTTGTTGATTCAAGTAAATCATATGCTAACAACTCAACTAAAAAGAGAACATCAAAACTTGAGAGCAAATGACAAAATTAGAGTTACATCCAATATACTAATCGACTCGATCAAAGTAATGAGGCACAAAATTAGACACTCCTTATCTACAGGTTCCGGTAGTTTGAATAGTGAATCGACCTTAAATTTAGTAAATTAATCAATGATTCCTCGTTTTAACATAAACATAGGTTGTGGTAGTTGCAACAACCACAACACCTAAAGATCCAATAGTTTCCACTCTTCATTGTACAACCAACTTTTTATCCCCTCCATCTTCAATCTCTTGACGTATATATTTTAAACAAAAATTAAATTTCTAATCCTCCTTCTGCAACTCCATTTATGCTACTTTGATGGACCTTCTCTCCATGAACCTGAATTTCTCTTTCAATTGAGTTTCCTGTCAGCTTGATCTCCAACTCCTCAATCCTCTTTCTTGTATTTGGCCAACTCATCTTCCTCATGGCAGTTTTAATAAGCTCGTAAAACCAACACTCATCTTCAATTCCATCAATATATGCTCTTCTCCTCCTTCTCTGCCTTCACCTGGTCCAGTTCACTTCCATGCCCTTCAATACCCTCTCCATTTTCATTAATATCCTGATCCCTCAATCCTCTTTCTTGTATTTGGCCAACTCATCTTCCTCGGGGCAGTTTTAATAAGCTCGTAAAACCAACACTCATCTTCAATTCCATAAATATGCTCTTCTCCTCTTTCTCTGCCTTCACATGATCCAGTTCACTTCCATGTCCTTCAATACCCTCTCCATTTTCATTAATATCCTTATCATCTACCACTTCTCTCTCTTCAACTGCTCCGATTTTGCTTCTATATCTTTCAATACCCTCCTTGGTTCAATCACTACCCTGACCAACTGCCTCTTCGCTGCCTTCACTTGCTGCAAACTACTTCCATGACTTTTTTATACACCTTCCTCAAAATCACAATCAATTAACCAATATCAATCCATGGCCTTGGATCAGTTTTAAACTCTCTATGAACATCTCAATACCACAAAGTCTAAATCTAAATATTCTTTCAGTTAATCATGAACTTGAGTTTATCAAAATCTAATCACTCCTTCTAAGTTGGAATTCTCATCCCCCAAGCTCATTTTTTGGTTCATTTGATCCCACATAACCATGATATTATACCTATAAATAAAATAAATCAAAGCATTTTACGAAAAGAAACCGAACCATGAACTTTACCTGCTACCAAATCCAAACACAATTTCTTCCTCTCACCACTTCTCTTCCCAAACACCAATATCAACTTTTACTCCAAGTTCACACCCCCAACTTCTAGTGGTTGCGTGAAAGCTTAATTTTAGCAATCATTATGCATGCAATTAGATTAATGGACACCAGTAAGCGCCAAAATTCCACCAGACGATGAGTTGTCTTCACTTTGAGTTTTGTCATAAAACTGTTGGCCCGATATGTTTATCAGTTTGGAGGTCATATGATGAGCAATACCGAACCAGTTGCAGCGAAGTTGCCGGTCACAGTAATGACAATGTGAAACATGTGTTAACAAACGCGAATATGGGTTACTTTTATGGATTGACATTAGAATGATGGGATTGGACAATGAGATCGTCCTTAGTTAAGTGACATGTAAATTGGTTCATTTGGTATGGAGGACACAAACCGTTAAAATTCTAAATTATTTGGGTGAGTTTGTATTTAGTGTTTTCAAAATCGTGGTATATGAGTTAGGTGATTAAAATATCTAAACCCAAACGAACTGACCCACGTACACCCCTAGAAAGAGTTTCAAAACTTAGTATTTATCCGGACAAAAATGTTCAGAGAACCAGTCCCCTATAGTTTGCACAAAGATATGATTGCTTCACTATAGTTCTGGAAATTAATGGTAATTTAAGAATTCTATATCGCTTCTACATATTCAATACTATAATTCGATATGAAACATTCGAACCAACAATATTTTGGTTGCAAATTTATGGTTATCGTCTATTTATAAGATAGATAAAATTTTAAATTAAGTATTAAACTATAATTAAACTAAAAAAATATCAAAATCGAAGTATCAAAACACCAAATAAGTACTTACGGAATATCTATTTGGCTAGCTAACTATTGAAAAGTTCGGTTATTTTATATTTTAGCTTCGTATATATTTTTAATATAAAAAATACAACAAATCTACATAGTCTGATTGATTTTAAACCTTCACTTTGTTTGAAGATACCATGGTTCAAATCTCAATATGTCTATCTTTTTCTGTAAATAAATAAAAAATACAAACAATTGTGAAGACAAAAATGTCCTTCCTAATTTCCCTCTCATTGCAGGAAATTTAAAAAGGGAGATTAAGTTTCAAATAATTAAATCATATACCCTAAATCTATAGAACTTAACCCTAATATCACATACACTAAGAACATAATCAATGATTCTAATTCGCCAAGATGTATACAACTTACCATATGCACTATATTAGGATTTAGAGAATTATGATATAGGATTTAGTTATGTGATTAATATATGGTCTAGATAATATTATTTAACTAAGGAGATGCAATAACCCTCAATCCATCGAGCGTACCATAGAATTTCCAATGTATATACACATACCATTGTTTGTTAAATTTAGCCAATGATAATTGGCTCATTTGTCAATGATATTTAGTCTTTCAATTCTATGCTTATAATTGTCAACCATTAGGGAAATTGTTAGCCAATGATTTTTGGTCATTCACTTATACCAAATCACCATACATCCCTTCCATCGTCAACTCTCCGCGGTGCAAGATTGCCGAACGGATTAGTTCAAACTCCGGTAGGAGTCGCATCAAGAACTGAAACAACCTAGCATGTTCGCGTTAGGCAATAAGAACGACGGAAGTAGCCGCGGGGCAAAGAGTAGTCGTGAGGAGGTCCTCTTCAGTCCATAACTCCTGGGCAGCAGTGAGATATGCCGTGATATCTCTATCACCTTGTTCCAGCCGATCCAAGGTACATTGAACTTCAATTTGACATGCAGGACTCGCGGTGGAATACGTGGCTGCCAATTGTTTCCACATTACGGCAGCTGTAGAGTGCCTACGAAGACCCAAACATATATGAGGATCAACAGAACCCAAAATCCAAGATCTCACCCGTGCATCATTCTGAATCCATCGAGCAATCTGCTCGTCTGTGGCCGGAGCGGTTGGCTCCGACATCGTACCATCCAGGACTCCAGCGAGCCCCTTCCCTTCAACATACACCCGAAACTGAAACTCCAACAACAAGTAGTTCTTCGGATTGAGACGAATCACTAGCCTCTCAGAATCATTCGTCGAAAGCTCTGATACCATGTTAACGTATTAAATCAAACGACAATAGCGATGGACAGACACACAACTTTAACGTGGTATCCCTGAAATGCCAGGACTAAACCACAGGAGAGTGGATCTCTCCAAAGCAAATCGTACTAGGTTTTTCTACTAAGTTTCGTCGGGTATAGAGGGAAGAAATAGGCACCAACAACCCTAGCCTCTACTCGTGTCGTGCATGGGTTGCATGGGCTTGGACCAACTATCCACTAATTATAAATCAACATCGTTGCCCAATTAATTACATGATTAATCTGCTAACAAGATCCTCATCCGTTTTTAATCCTCAAAACTGTAACTAATACAAAAAAAATTCAATATCGAAAATACTCTTAATGTTCAGGGGTTGTGAATAGGGGTGGAAATCAGTACGGTATCGATATCCCAATACCAAATACTGAAATCCCGAATACCGAATTACACCCGAAAGTCAATTCTAATCTCAATCCCTAAATAATTTCGGGGGTCCCAATACCAATCTCTAAATATTCCGATATCCCAATCGGTACTTCGGTATCCCAATCGGTATTATCGAATATGAAATTAATTACATTTGAAATAAATAATTAAATATATAAATTAGATTTGATTGTTTAATGTAGGGCAAAGAGACTAAACAAATAGTCTTGAGTTTGCCTAGAGTTAGGATATGGATAAGGAGAATGAAGGAGAGGTGACATCTGAAGTTCTTGTCATTAGTAATCTTTAAATTTGACGAAGTGAAGGCTGAGAGACGACTAATACTAGTGTTTGCTTTTTGGTGTTATGAAAATAACAAGTTATTACTTATTAGGTGAGAGATGAGAGTGACTTAAATTGGAAAGTCAAAATTGAGTTGGATGTGGACTTTTGAGTTGTGAAACAAAGATGAAATGATTTATGTATAATGAAATGACACTCTTAGTGGTTGAGGGTCATGTAGTAGTGAATGAGAGAGACTAGTTGAGAGGATAAATTACACACTAGCTTATGTTTCGGTATTCCCGTAATCCCTAATACCGAATTACAATTGAATCCCAATCTCAAAAATAATATATGTATTCGGTAATACAAAATATAGATAAATTCGATACGCTATTCGGTATATTCCAAATACTAGTATCAAACTTCCATCCCTAATTATTCGCTATCCCTAGTTGTGAACCATATCTAGGGGTGTCAGTTCGGGTCGTGTTCGGTCCCAAACCGAAACCCGAAAAAACCCGAAAACCCGAATGGACACCCCTAACCATATCCCGTCCCATGAACCAGACCATTCATATAATTCGCTAGCTGACCGAACGGTTCGGTTCGACCCCAACTGATCCCCTCCTCCCCTGCCTCTCTCTGTTTCTGGTTTCTCCTCTCTCCCTTCTCCTTCGCCCACAAGTTTTATTATTACTCTCTCAGCAATAGCAATAGCAATAGCAACAGCAGCAACTCTCTTCCTGAATCCTGCTCTCCGATCCCCCTTCCTTTCTTCTCTATCTCTTGTTCGTTAAAGAGTTTTGATGGAGGCTCAGGTAAAGCAAGAGATCCTGGAAACCCCCAACCGCGAGCTCGGACCGAATCGACTTACTGCCGGAGTAACGCGGTCTCCACCACTTGATGTGATCGAGCTCAGCAGCGACTCGGAATCTGACGCAGACGAGCCTTCCGGCGGTTGCCGCCGCAATGCCGATGGAGGGGGAGAAGGTTCGGAGAATAAGAGGAGGAAGTTGAACGAGTTGGGAGTCACTGAGCCGGACAACTTCTTGGCTCCACTTCCCGCGGGGGCCGATTTAGCTTCCCAGGCTTTGACCATCGCTCGCCCACTCGTATCGAGGGAGAACGGGAGTGTGATGGTGAATGCTCATAACTCCAAGCAGTTTTGGAAAGCCGGTGATTACGAGGGTGATTCCGTTGCTGGCTGGGATGTCCCTTCTGGTAATTCTTTTTTTTTTTTCGTTCTTTTTTTTTCTGGCTCGTAGCACCGGATGATGCATTTTAGTTTTACTTCCTTCGCATTCATTCTTGTTTCCTGCTTTGATTAAACGAAGTTTGGCTTCAAGTTGACTTCCCTGGGCGCACAATTTTGCTTTAAGTTCAGGTGATTAGTGTTGGTCCCGACTTCTTTCTCTTCTGTCAACTTAGTCAATGTATTAGGTGCTCATTAGACAATGCATTGTTGCTCTCTCATCGTGATGTGGTTATTTCCCTTCTATAGTTTGACTTGTGTTTAGGTTTGTGACCAGGTAATTTTAATCTGGTGAGCTTTAGTAAGTTGCATTTGTTGAATCGCTAGAGGCCAATGCCTTTAGCTTCAGTGTAGCGAGCTGATTACGATGTCGCTTTTTCCTCAACCTGTGTAGGTGGCATGGATCATGTAAGGGTTCATCCAAAGTTCTTACATTCCAATGCAACCAGCCACAAATGGTCTCTTGGAGGTAAACTCCGCTAGCTACCATATAATTTCAACTAATCTAATGTATTAGTAGGACTATCAAGAGTCTAGTTGTCTTAATCTGCTTGTTTTTTTCTTGGCACCTATGCAGCCTTTGCAGAACTGTTGGACAACGCATTGGATGAGGTAATGTTGCAGGATGCTTTTTAGGTCATGTTTCCCTTATAATCTGCTTTGCTCTTACAGTGACTCCTGTTCTTGGTGCTCAGGTTTGCAATGGAGCAACGCTAGTGAAGATAGACATGCTGAAAAGTGGGAAAGATGGGAGCAGAATGCTACTGATTGAGGGTACTTGTTTTTTTTTTTTTCTTTCTCATGTCTTGCTACTTATCTCTTAGAACCATACATATTTTTGTTTTAACCTTCAAATAGAAAGTCAAGGAAGATTGCAATACGTTGCTGGATAAGATGCCAATGGTCTGTTGTGAGTTCAAAGACTGCAACCCTGTATTAGGAATTAGTTTCGTGACAAACTAATATTTGCTAACCCCCATAAATATTAAATAGTTACTCATTATTACCTTCTGTTGGACTCCTGGAACACCAGAACTTTTCTCAGTCCTTTGGTGAGAAGTTATATATCATCTTTATAATCCTGAAGACATATTGTTCATTCTTCCCGTTTCATTGATATTCTTGTACTATCTCTTTACATTTATTTTTGTTTGCAGATGACGGTGGTGGGATGGATCCAGATAAAATGCGGAAGTGCATGTCCTTAGGCTATTCTGCAAAAAGCAAAGTGGACAATGCCATTGGCCAGTGTAACTTACTGTACATTGCTGGAGCTTTTCAGTTATTCAGTTCTATAAGAAGCTACTTACCGTATTGTTTCTCTGTAATTAAGGAATGAGTAATTATGTTCCATTTTTACTATCAGATGGCAATGGTTTCAAGACAAGTACCATGAGGCTTGGTGCTGATGTTATTGTGTTTTCTCGGTGTCGCGGACAAAATGGCAAGAGGTTTTGTATCTACTTCCTTACAGTACTGTGTATAGTTCTTTGCTTCTGGATGGTTGTTGTTGATTTGTTAAATACTATTGCTTGGCAGGTAGGGTATAGTGATAGCATTGCCAGCTGTTGTTAAATACTAAATAATGAATCTTTTCTTACAAATTCATTCATGTTACTTGATCGTTGGAATTGAGATACTTCTGATTTTAGTTCTGAAAATTGATTATTGGGTCGTCAAGAAATGTTGGAATTTAGCCACCTGGTTGTACTTGGAGAACGGAAATACATAATTTGTTTTGTGTCTCCAATGATAAAAATACACTAGGTTCATGGATTGCAGATTTCAATTTGAAATGCTTTAATGCTAATTGCTGGCACTGTTTGTTTTTTTTGTCCTTGCTTGATTTTGCAGTTCTCGTCCATTTGATGGGTTTATTTATAGAAATGGAATTCCCTGATCATTGTTTACTTTTCGTGTGTGCTGTTTCATGTAATTTGGGTATCTCTCCTCTGGTTGCAGACCTACCCAGAGCATTGGTTTACTATCATACACATTCTTGAAGAATACAGGAAAAGAGGACATAGTAGTTCCAATGGTACTTCTCAAACTAACTAGTTGTGATTATTTCCATATTAGTATACTTAGATATACCAATTCACTATCTTTTGTGAAGAGCACTATGAGTTTCATAATGAAGCTGTGTCATGAAAGAAAAGGACAAGATGTCTCTGGCAGGCTTGCATGTTGAACAACCCAATTTTGCTCGTTATAATAAGTCTCTGATCCTTAGATGTTCTCAGTTTGCTTTCTGGTTCTTGCTTCCTGAAATGGAGACCTCAGAGTTGTTAAGTGGGTATAACAATGATGTGATCCAGTACTAACTTTTGCTGCCATATAAATTAAAATGGAAAGCTTGACTACGAAAGAGAAGGACAAGGGTGGAGCAGAATTGCTAGACTTTCTGATGTTGATTGGACTAGGAATGTGGAAACCATTCTTCAGTGGTCTCCATTCCTTAGCGAGGCAGATCTTCTACAAGAGGTGATTTTCCCTTGGTACTTTTATCATACATTTACATAAGGAATGTGTTTATCTTGTTTTGACTTTTCTCTATCATATGCTTGAAATGATTCAATTTGTTAGCGATGCTATTGGTTTTTGTGATGTGGGGATGAATATGTTTTTGACTCTGTTCTTGTGAGTCTAATAAATACTCGGACAGGGGTGTGCCTAAAATTCTAATTATTAGTTGTTCCATCAAGTGTTTCTGCAGTTTTCATGGGGGTGATTATGTGGAGGTTGAAGGATTTTTGGAAAAAATGTGGGTCAATTCTCATCTTGCATGATGGATTGTTTTACCGTAGTCTACGAACTTGGTTTGTGGTTTATTTCTGTCTCACATTCGAGCTTCCTGAAATGGGACTTATGTTTTTACCTTGTCATGTTATAACGACAATCTTTTATTTATTTCTGTAGTTGGATATGCTGTCAGATAATGGGACACGCATAATAATCTACAATCTCTGGGAGGACGATGAAGGATTTTTGGAGCTTGATTTTGATGCTGATCCTCATGTATGTTTTCATGTGTATCTCTGTGTTTTTGCTGGCCCAATGGAGTAAGCTAACCACAAAATAGCTTTTGCTTTTCTAATTATTTTTCTTCTCTCCTTATCTCGTCATTCTGGCAGGACATACAACTTAGAGGGGCAAATCGAGATGAAAAAAATATACAAATGGCGAGGGAGTTTCCCAACTCACGCCATTTCCTGACCTACAAGCATTCATTACGGGTATCAATCTTTTTGCATCCTTCTGTTTGTTGCCACTTGTCACTACCAGCAATCGAAGTGCAATACCAATTACCATTTTTTGCATGTTAATGGCTATATTTTTTAAGGTGGTGGAACGAAAGTCGAGGTGTTAAGATCTATTGTTGATGAGTAGTGCTTACCCTTGTTTTGTTTTCCATATAAGCATCCTTTTTCTTTATTGCCAACTTGGTTTGGTTAAACACTTTCCCTACTTGCTGTGCACTGAAACTTCTCGAGAAATTAGTAGGTAAGTAAGCGATTGGCATAGAAATACAATATCATGTCATGAGCCTCTTTTGCCTAAAATCTTAAAATCCTCTGTTAAGGCTGCAGGTTCATTCTTCATAACATGTAAACTCGTAAATATGTTCACTTTTGTCTGGGTTAAAATCATACTGCGATTTTGAGTATTTCCATCATTAGGTATGTTCCTTATGCTGGCACAGTAGAAGCAGCCCAGGTTTAGAAGGTCTCTTTCTTTCACATTATGTGTCATGAACATCCTATACCTCATTTGATGATTCAGTTTTTCCAATCTCATTGCCAGAGTTATGCTTCGATTCTCTATCTCAGAATTCCTCCTGCCTTTCGGATCATCCTTCGTGGAAAAGATGTTGAGCACCATAATATAGTAAATGACATGATGATGTCTCAGGACGTGATATATCGGCCACAGGCTTCTGTTGATGGGACAACCAAGGATCATAGTAGTGTAAAGTATCGTACTCAGTAGTATATTGTAAATTCTTTTTCTCACAATCCCTTTGCTGAGTGTTCGCTCAATCTTTTCAGATGACTGCTGCTGTTACTGTGGGATTTGTCAAGGATGCAAAGTATCATATTGATGTTCAGGGGTTCAATGTCTATCACAAGAATCGACTTATCAAGGTTAGTTTGTAATTACATGAGTGGTATGGGAATACTCTGTTCTTTTTCCATTCTGTGGTTAAGCATACTGAGATGCTTGCTAAATTGACAACCTAAGACTGTAAATCTTTTGTATTGTGCCTTAACTGACGCAGAGAAATGACTAAGCAGTTTGCTGAAAGTCATCTTATAATTGAATTGTTGACGGGTTTGATATAAAGCTTGGTTGCCAGCTTCTTTCTCTCAACACGCTTAGTTTCTTTTCCCTCTTGTAATTCCGTGGACTGTTCTGCTGCACTCAGCCATTTTGGAGGCTATGGAATGCTGCTGGAAGTGATGGTCGTGGAGTCATAGGTAATACTACTTATGTAAAGTTTCATTGGCAACTTTGGGTGCTTTGGGCTAAGTGTAGCTTTTGCTGTTGTCCCCCCCCCCCCCCCCCCCCCCCCCCCCCTTTCCTTTTGGTAGGTAGTTAGCTGGGAGATCACTGACTTAGTTTCATGTCTTGCTTATAGGTGTCTTAGAAGCCAATTTTGTTGAACCTGCCCATGATAAGCAAGGCTTTGAACGCACAACTGTTCTGTCACGGCTTGAGACTCGTCTAATACAAATGCAAAAGAATTACTGGTTCGTGACTTCTCTCACCATTGTGATACTGTTCATTTTCTGCACAAAAAAAAAAAAAAAAAAGACTTTGGAAAGCTGGCTGTGATAAAACCCATCTTTGGGTAATTGCTTTAGGTGTTCGAACTGTCACAAGATCGGCTATGCTCCCAGACGTAACAAGAAAGGGTTAAGTGAAGAGACAGGTAATTACCTGGACTTCATTAAGATTTTCTGCGTACGTTTTGTGTGTATATAGAAAAAGCCCATTGGATTTGTGTAATTTAGGTATGCGACCTTCATTATTCCCATCCCGTTTGTTTAAGCATAATTTTTTACCTGGTATCACTTCTTCAGCTCCAGAACACATGTATTCTTGTGTGTTAATGCTAAAATAAACTTATTCGTGGCCAGAAACAATTTTCTCACATGATCAGAGTTTGGGAAGAAAAGAACCACCAGAAAGATCTGGTAAAGAGGTGCGATATGAAAAGCAAAATGTTTCAAGGAAAGGAAACAACAATACCACAAAGTCTCCAGTCAAATCAAGAAAAGGATTTGAATCTTCTGAACCATCAACCCCTTCCGAGGATGCAAATGACGGTAACATGCGTAGTTCCCCCCCTCTGAAAAAAGCAACGTCCAGCACTCCTGTCGGGAAATCCTTACCAACAGATGTGTTGCATGGAAGTCGGCCATCCCCACGTTCGGGAGATGGAAGAACTCATAATGTCTCCAACCCATCTGGGGAATCTGTTCCAGCAACCATACGTACCCAGTCAAAGGTTTTTGTTCCTTTGCCATGCTGTCATATAACTAGACTAGTGTATGGTTGTTTATATTAGAATCTATTGGTTGCTTTGGCTTGTTAGAGGCAATGTTAACTCTGCTTGTTTTTGTCTCCAAAGGCCGATACTCGGATTTCTTTGCTTTGCAAGCTAATCTCACTAACCAATTGTATTTTTAGTATCGGTTTTAAATTTATATATTTTGATAGAAGATAATTATAGCTCTCGATCCCATTGGCAGGCAGGCGTTGTTGATCTCAGTGCTGATGGTCATCATTCTGCAGTTGATACAGATACAAGTGATCGGCTAAAGCTAGAGAACCGTGAACTGAAGGAAAGGTTAGCATTCTGATGCTGGAGCTTGGATGTGTGTGTGTTTGTCTGTTTGTGGGTAGTGACTTCCATCGGGACTGTCTATGATTCTACTGTAGATTAGAGAAGAGGGAGGCGGAACTTCGATTGATGAGTTTGAAGTGCCAGAAATGCAGTGCTCTAAAGATACAGGTGTGTGTAGTTGAAGGTTACTCTTTCTGTGGAGAGTTGAGGATGGTAGATAACACGTAAGCGTAAAGAAAGAGATGTTTTGGCTAACCATCTATTTGCCTTGTACGTTCAGTTTGATCAAGCCCAGCAGAAGATAGAAGACTTGAACAAGGAACAGGAAAGTCTAATTGACATATTCTCGGAGGAGAAGGAGCGAAGAGACAAGGAAGAGGATAATTTGAGGAAGAAGTTGAAGGTACTTTTAAGTTTTAATCCTCGCAGGTTCCTGGCTGTTTAGGCGAGCTAACCCGAGTGGAGACAAATAATGAGCTATTTTGATTTCTGTAGGATGCATCCAACACCATACAAGAATTGCTAGATAAAGTAAGGTTGCTGGAGAAGATGCAATCAACCTCTAACAATGCAGGAAGGTAACATTGCAATGGCCCTGGAAGGAAGACTTTTGTACAGATTTTGAGCCCAAGAAAAGCAAGAAGGTCGTAGGATAAGCCGTAGGCAACACGTCTTGGGCAGGAAGTTAATTTTGTTAATATTATATGCTGCTGATTTACAGACTAAGATTAGCGCAAAAAAGAAGTGGTTTCACTGCATTTTGAGGGCTGTAAAAAGGAGGGGCTTGGCGGCTTGCTGTGTTGGGTTGGCCGCAGCACCAAGTTGTAAGAAAAACAAACGATCAATCCTTAGTAGGGAAGGATGAAGGAGTTGACAGGTGCCACCAATTTTGGTATTGTGTCCAATGGTAATGGGTCGGGTTTTGCCAAATCTAAATTCATGAATTTATCAGTAAAAAAAACTCGAAGTAAAACTCTCTGGGTTTAGAAAATTCAAACCTAACCCAACCCGTTGGGTATGTGCGAGTTCATGGATACCCATGGATTTTTGTGATAAAAAATTTACAATAACATGTCTCTATCAAAATAAAAGTCAAACATAAATTTTCTCATACAAATTATCCATAAATAAAACACCAGTTTAAAAAATTCAAACAAATCACAATTACACTAAATAAAAGCACACAGTTCTTTGTTTTTCTTTCATTCCTTTTTTGTTTGTAAGAGAGCAACAAACCAACAAACATGGTGTGTTAAAATTCAATTATTAATGGGTTATAGGTATAATATGCCCCTCTACTATGTCATTTTATCAAACATGCCCCTGTACTTTGAAAAAATTATCAAACATATGGCCTTATGTTAATATTTTCATTGAAAAATCGTCTATCATGGTTGAACCGAGATTTAGACGACCCGACATCGGCAAATGAGAGGGAAAATGTCAGTTTTGTCTCCTGTTTTATTTCTTTAGGTCTCGTCAAAGTGAAATTATTACAATTATTTGGCTATACAAAGGAACCAAAAGTTTCTAAAGTGAAATAATTAGGGGTATTTTAGACATTTATGTCGCCCAAACCAAAGTTTGGTCGTGGTTAATGGTTTTGGATCAAAATTTTAACAGAAAGGCATGTTTGATATTTTTTCAAAGTATAAGGGCATGTTTGATGTAAAAATAGTAAAGTGACATGTTTGATAAAATGACATAGTAGAGGGGCATATTATACCTATAACCATTATTAATTTATCCCTCCCACTTTTTATGAGTAAAAGAGAACAATACCTTGCTAGTAAGCAGGGTCGGATAGAGAAGGAGAGGGCTTTTGGGGGAGAGAGCAGAGGGGACTGGGGTAGGGGTGGGCAACCGGTTTGGTAAACCCGAATCGAATCGAACCCGAATTAAACCGAAACTGAAACCGAATTAATGCTATTCGATTCGGAATTTGGAATGAAAATATGGATAGTTTGGAAACCAGGGTTCTCTCAACCGAACCGAATTTCCGACCGAAATACTATAATTGCAAGCTCCAAATGGTGGATTTTTATGTTTGTAGTTGTTTTTAGACTTAAATATTTGAAATATTTTATGACTTATGGGTTGAAAAGTTTGATTTTATCATTGATGATGCATATAATTACATATTTATTGTTTATATTAGGGGTAAAAAATAATTTAAAAGTGAGAAGATACAAGTAGCTTCACAAATTCGGTTTTGTGTGAAATACCAAACCGAACCGAATTATAATTCGGTTTAAACCGAACGAATCGAATTATAGTTCGGTTTGAGGTTTAGGAGAATTCGGGGACCCGATATTGATAATTTCGGTTCGGTCGAAACCTAACCGACCGAATGCCCACCCTTGGATTGGGGAGGCGGCAGGTAAGTCATAGTGTGCTAAGAGTTAGATTGGGGGGATTAGAATTAGGGTAGGGTTTGGGGAGAGTAGGGCGACGAAATAAGTGTTGGCGGGTACCCATGGGTTGGGTATCCCTAAACCCAAACTCAACCCAACTCGGTGAATAGCGTAACGGGTTTAAACCCAAACCCGGCTCAAAACCCGTCAACACGGGTTTTACCCGCGTTGACCAAATTGGATCTGGTAGGGTACTCGTGGGTTTGGATTTTTTTGCCATCCCTATGTCCATTCTTGTTATCTCTATCTATTATGTGCCATTGTAGTATTGATTATAATTTCACCATAGGTTGCTAGGAAACTTCACTTATTCATATATGATTCACCTTGTGTATGTATGTTTAATTGGATGCAATTATGCATGCTTGTTCAAGATTCATGCTTGTTATATAGAGATGTTACGAATTCATAGAACCCGAAAATAGCAACATGCTATAATTACTTCCTTGTTATTATCGAGCATTAACTAATTGTAGTTTCTCTTGTATGTGGTCAAAATTCGGTTATGAATGAATTATTTGAAGGCATATAGCAAACGGGTTGGATCCAGTCCTTAAGCCTAAAACTTAAGGGGGTCATTTGGATGCAGGTTTTGGGTGTGGGATTTGGGCACAATCCTACATAATGTGGGATTTTATTAAAATCACTCGTTTGGAAAGCAATTATATGATAAGAGATTTTAAATATTAGAGATTTCAGAAACCCACAATTGTGGGATTATGAAATAGCTGATGGTGATCAGCTATTTTGAAATCCCACACAAATTCCACAAATTAAAAACCTGGGTTTTTAAACCAGTGATTTGAGCCAAAATCCCACAAATTAAAAACCTGGATCCAAATGACCCCAAGGAGTTTCTTAAGTTTTTATTGGCCAATATGAAGAGGAGAGAGAAAGTGAAGTCTAACCACTTAAAAGGGCAATTAAATATATAATTAAATATTTGTATTTAAGAGCTAATGAAATTCCAAATTAAAAGTAAAATTCGTAATTAATATTTCATGATTTAAAAAGGAAATTAAAAATGTTCACACACTCTCTCTCACTCCCAATGACATTATTAACGGTTTGCAATTACATTATCAACGATTATGAAATAATTTATTATTGATATACCCCATCATTATCAACAATTCCAGTATACTTATCAATATTTTATGATTATATTATTAACGAATTTAGTTCAATTGCTAACGATTTATATTTTCATTATCAATGTTTATAAATGAATTATTAAAGTTATGTTACATCGTTATTAATGAGTTGAATAACATTATCATTGATTTACAACATCTTTATTATCATTGAATATTAAGTGTAAATATACAACATTCGGATATTGAAAACCATTAATAACAAATGTGCACGTCAACCCACTTTGACCTTGACCTGGTGAGAAAAACGGGCCGCACGCACCCGCCGGGTCGACCGCTACAAGGTATCGGGTTGAAAGTCAAATTGTGTCATTTTTTTCTTTGGTTTGCGAAATGCGCCTATTTTCCGATTTTTCTTTTCGCCTAACTCAATCTTTGGAATCCTAAGTTGAATATTTGAATATTGATGTTGTATAAGTGTGTGTGAATTTTCACTTTATGCTGGATCTAAGTACGATATGTTATTTTGGTGTAATATTATATGTTATAACTCATATGTTAGATAAGATATGATATAATTTATAAAGATAAGTACAATATAATGACTTTTTTCATATTTCCGAGTAAAACCAGGCTAAAACGGTTGACCCATTAACTCTTGACCCACTAGTTTGATCGGGTCCGGGTCAACCCGCAGGTTGACAACCTTAAGCAAAAGAGAAGGGAGGGAAGACAGAAAAACCCACAATCTTTCTCCTCTCTCGATATTTCTTCTCTTCTCATTTACCCACAAAAACCCCAAACTGTCTATTCTCCTCTCTTCCACTTCCTCCTTTTTTCCTTCTCCCCTCTCCGGGGGAATGGATCAGGTCAGTAACCATCAGTAACCCGCCCACATCAGCATGACATCAGCATACTCTCTCTCCTGGGAAGTCTTTAATTTTCCCCTCCTTAATTTTTGACGGACGATTTCTCACTCGTTTTAAGTCGAAATTTAATTTTTTTTTGCACAGTTAGATCAGATTAATTGTGCTCTTCAAAATAATATCCACTTTGATATATTTTTCGAACAAAAAAAATTGAGTCATTTCATATGGTATAGACTGGTATTGAAATAAGAGCATACCTATGATTTGAAAAGCATATCATGGTGGTATGACACAAACCAAGACTGTAGGATGATTGAATACATGATATTAGAAGTATATTAATTGTCATTTACGACTTTTAACATTGTATACCATAAAATACCACCCCGTACCAGGGTGGTATTGTATGGTATTGTGTGGTATTTTTTGGTCTTGTAATTTGTTCACCCAGAAATTTGTAGATCCAATAGATCATGATGAACTCGTCCCTGCTGTGCAAACGTTTTCAAAAACGAATGAAAAACGAAGAAAATACCATATGGTATGCAGTTGGTATCGAAAGGCCAGAATTTTTTTTCCTAAAAAAATATTGAAAATTGATCTCATTTTGTAGAGCATGATGAACTCGTTCCATCTGTGCAAAAAAAATTAAAATCCGAGTTAAAACGAAAAAGATATGAGTCAATTAAAAAACTAGTGAAAATAAAAATGGTCTTTAATTTTTCATTCTTAGATCTGGATTTTCTAAATGAAGGGTCCAGATTTAGTTACTGATGAGTGCATAACCATGGGTTATGCATCCTATCTTGAGCCCCTCTCCGGTGGCAACATCCAGATCTGGCTCCCAGCGAGAACCTTCCAGAAGCCAAGGAATTGTTTGACGGAAGAAATTTTTTCATTACAGATGAACACAATCACCTAAATCAAAGTTTTCTAATACTTTGAACATTGATTTCATTGTACCAGTTTCCAAATTAAATATGAGCAATGCATAAATAATCAAACAACGATTTACAATTCATTTGACACAAGTAAAGCGTTAAGATTTGATCTAAACAAATGTAAATAAAACATGTCTCCTTATCATCACATTGAAAACTTTTGTGTAGTATCGGTTAAGAAATATGATTACTATTTGTCAGTTTAAATAAAAACACATAATTTCCATGTAAAGATGTGGTGCGGGTCATTCGGATGACCCGCAATCCACCCATCGCCAACTCGATAAGTGCACTTAGGAGTGATCCAAAATTCACTCATATCAATCACTCAACCATTGCGATTTGGGTTATTAGTCGGGGGATTGGTGTCAAACCGCGGATTACTCACCCACGTGCCCACCCCTAATATTTGTGAAGAGAGCTCAGATCCAAGGGGGAGGTCGACGACTCAAAGAGAAGGAGAGGGAGAGGTGGTTCGTCTAGGGGAGATGAAAGAGAGAAATAATTAGATTTTTAGAAAAATTACAATTCTGATTAAGTTTAAGGAATCATGTCTCGAGTACATAATCTATAGTTTGACAAGTTCTCTTAAACTACCTCTATCTTTTTTTTTTTGTAGAAACCTCTATCTTTTT